CCCAATAAACATTTTGGCGAACTTTCGAAAATTACCTTCGATATCCAATATGAATATCGAACAGAGAACCAACTCATAACCAACCTTAGTTTTCCAACGTTCATAGTATATTGGAAATACACTCGAAATGGGTTCGAAAAACAAGGGGAGCCATAGTAACAAGTGAGAAAGTGAAATCCAGCTCAGCCTTTAAGGGGAAATATAAGAAAATCACTCTCTCATTAAACTTCCAATTCGATAATCGGCTGGATTTCGAATTCATAACGAAAGAAAAATACATTGGATAACGAAGGTTCCGTTTTGCTGGAGAATGGCCTAGTTCTCGAAATGGATACTAACCTATTTCACATTCGTTATCGAAGGTGAGACTCGAAGAAAAGGTTGGGACTCCAATCATTTTCGAATTGTTAACCAAGCCGAAGGTTTATTGGGTGATGTCACATAAAGTTTTACGCTCACTCCGAACGGCGATTGTATATTTATGAGAAGCTAATTTTCATGACATAATACACTCGGATACTTGTCATTGGTTGCCAAAGGGCGACCTCTATTGGAAAATACTTTTTTGTTCTTTATTTTTTGATGTTAGTGGGAAACTGGACTACGGGCCCTGCGGAATGGTAGCACGCACTGCTAACCACTTCACCACAGTGGACGCCAATACCGATCAAATATCCACTTATAGTACAATCAAAACTGTCCAAGAAATGCTTGACCTTGCTCTAGGCTGATTTGTGTTCCAGGGCGCAGTGAGATTGCAGGACACTGCAAGGCTGATTGGCGAAGGCAAATAAGTAGTTATCCGTGAAAGGGGCCAACTTCTTGCTGTCAAAGACACTTTGGTAGTACATACCAGCACAGTTCAACCTAGTCACAATTATGATCCTTAGTGATAGTTAAGACGCTGATGAATAGGGCCATTGACTAGGACTTAACCATGTACTGAAGGGGGAGCAGATGGCCTTCCTCTACAGCTTAATAGGCCTCAGCGCAACTACAAATCCCACAAGAAATTTCGTCGTATTACCTGTACTGTGGTGATTTCAGTCTGTTCTTACTCTAAGTTACCCAGCAATTGGATAGAGGCACCTTTTATTGGAAGGGACCGACCATTCCAGATGTACCGGTAAAACGTACTTTTTGTTTCGTGTTCGTGGATCGTCAAAGTTTATGGGCATATTGGATACACTATATGAATGGAAAATGAAATTTTAAAATTTTATATAAATTTCTGAGAACATTTTTTACCTAAAGAGAGACAAATATATCTTTGATGTGGAATATAAGCCAACACGGCGATGCAGAACGACTTTCGGCACAACTTTTAGCTCCGTCCAAATTAAGAGGTATCTCTCCGAGCCCTTTGAGAATGCCTCCTCTCGTGGATCTTTTAGAAGATTTAGCGTAGGTTACTATGGTCTATGGCAGATTTACTAGGTGTGAAGCCACTAACTTCGTTGACGATGGACTTAAGACCTTATAAGTACTCGACGTGTACTCGTAAATTGGTCGCAATAAAAATATGGTTCTAGCCGACTTTTGGTCCTCGGATCGTACCTACGTCTAAAAACGGGAACGGTGCATTACGTCTATCATAACATGATTGATATCGTTTCTCGTCTTTCTATCTGGAGACAGTTACAACAGCCTTGTGTGTTCTAGGCCCAGTCGATGTTGGTCAGCTTAAATTTTCTGTCAATAGCTCCACAGACTCTTTCTTTGGCCACACTGGCATTGAAATAGTCAATCCAGATTTTTTACCGTGATGGAGAAAGATTTCGGGGTTTTATTCTCCGGGGTTGGATAAAATGACATTTCGGCTATCAAAATATGTCCAAGACAGGTCCCGAGCTTTTGCACCTCTTCGTATGGTCAGTGTGAAAGTGTTAGCAGCGCTAAAGTTTAAAAGAACGCCAGAAGCCATAGGGGTGATCGATTTTAATTTTGCAATATGGGTTTTTCTCCTACAGGTCAGTTGTATATAAGGTATAATTAAACTTTTTTTTATAAGTTCATTTAATTAGGATTTAATGAAATATTCAAGTGAATTTTTTAATAAAAACAGTTTAAAGAAAAAGTCGTAAGTAATTTTCTCCATGTTTCGGCAATATAAAATTTATGTTTATTTCAAGATAATTATATTTTGGACCATAATACTAAATATTAAATCTCACCGTGTCCGACCTTTTGTTGAAGATGCGATTTTGTACCCCAATAATATTTTAGGTTGTTCCGAATATGATTTTTTTAATTAGTTTTTTCAACAAATTTCATGCATGTGAGATACACGTAAACATGATTATATTGTAATTCAATAGCATTCTTATTTAAGAATTTTGAATACAAACACATTTATTTAAATTTCAGGCGCCATATTAGGTCGGCCATTTTGTTTTTTTGTTATTTTGACTTCAGATTCGAATTCAGCGACCTCAAAACCCCTGTAATCCTGAATTAATGTGAATATACTAGTTTTTTTGAATTATGGGCACAAAATGGGTATCAAATATCATTGTGGGGCGTAGGCGTAAATGATGAACGAGATGTTGAATAATTTCGCTTTGAGAGTACTTGGCGACCGCTTTTGAACTTCTTTATATGTATGCCAGATGTCGCAAGCTCTTACGCTTTCCTTGGCTTGCCCCGTCCAACGCATTTCCTGTATGGTGGTGATATCAGACTTATCCTTCGCTAGGACTTTAACCACCAGGCCATAGGCAAATTTCCAATTAAGTGTCCGGGTATACCAGTTGCATACCCTCAAACCAGAGTCCATTAACCGTTTGCCGTGGTTGTTGTCAAAAGAAGGGGGTCAGCTGAGTAAATTTCCCTTTTCGTTTGGTATTGGGTTTTTTATAGCGGCTCTCAAGCCCACGTATATACAGGGAGTACACGTGTATATAGCGAGGCGCTCGCTGCTAGACAGACAACCGCTTGCATCTACACCTCATGGACGCTGCAAACTTTAGAGGACCTTTAAACAGAATAATCCGTGATCCAAGGCTCCACGCGGAATTGAAGGTCAAAACGAAGTTATAGTAAGGTCGGGCCACGCGATGAGCGGCAAAGCGGCGAGCCATACAGAAATGCCGCTTAGCCGCTCAGAAATGCCGCTCAGTGCGTGGCTACTTCAATAGCATTTCATATGTTTTAAGTTGAAGCCGCTCAGCCGCTTTGTCGGTCAGTACGTGGCCTCGGCCTAAGAAGGTTGAGAATAATGCGCATTATTCATTATCGAAATTAAGTCGACTCTAAAGCTAGTTGCAGCTTTTTCGAGGGATATTCCAATGAAAATTATTTCGAAACGCTGCAACTCAATTTATTTTGACTGTTAATATGTCCCATAGCCTTTAAAATCTCGCTAAATAAATCCTATCAGAAAGAGGATTTTATCCAACAAAATATCCACTCACCATCTCCTTGCGGCTATAGGCATTCACCGAGCGGCTATACTAAAAAAAAGTATTAGCGACTCTGCACAAAAATTTCATCATTTGGCCTGCGGTGGAGCTAACTTCAGCGGTACTGCACCTATCGGATGATTTAGTTACCTTTATACTACTGCTTTGCATTGCATACTTCATGGCGCCGAGATATTTTTTTTGGTGCAAAATATCAGCATAAAGCTACAAATAAGGTGTGTAGCTTCCAGAGCAAATAGCATAAAACAATAAAAAAGGAGATAACTGATGAAAATACAAACAACAATAACAACAACAAATTTTCACATAGTTTCCTACTTGCCAGCCACATTTTTATCTAGTATTCATGGCTGCGCCGGCAACTTCCGGTTAATGTGCGAGCATGTCTGTATATCTCCAAACCATTATGTGTATGTGTGTGTGTGACACCTGTCAACCAATGAGCAGTGTTGCCAGGTTCACCATTTGGTAGTAATTTTAATGATTTTTTACTGCCATGACGATTTGACGATTTTTGTGGCTCAATGACGTTTTGTGTTTGTGTGCAAATTTGGCTGGTTCTCAACTTTGAAGATAGATATACAGACAACTAAATATTGCAGTGTAAACAGTTTACCATTTGTTCTAATACATAGTTGTCGTATCGAAATTATATCATGTGGCAGCACTAATAACTTGTATTTATTGATAAGTAGTTTTCTTCTTTGGTTCATCACTATTTGCGTAGCTTTAGGCGGTCAAATTCATAATTTTTGCGTTTTCACGTTTTGTTCTGGTGCATTTTTTATGGAGTTAAGCGAATTATGAATAAGTTATTTAGCAAAACTTGTAAGTGTGAACAGTTTTTAATGCACATAGTTAAGTTGCAGTCAAAAAAAAAAATGAAGAAGATATGTGATCTTATTGCAATTAAAACTATTTTTTTTTTAAAGTAACGCGAACAGCTTCTCATAAAAATACAATCGCCGTTCGGAGTCGGCGTAAAACTGTTGGCCCGTCCCCTTCGTGTGATAACATCAAGGCGCACGTCACAAATCGGAGGAGAAGGTCGGCCAAACACTAAGCGTCAATATATTATTATTATTATTATTATGCGAATTTCAAAAATTCGTTAAAAAGTTAAACTCTACTTTTTACGTATGGAAAACAAAAGCTAGAATAAATTAAAACAAAAAAGCAAAATAGCTTTCTGGTTCTGTTTATTAAAATTGTTTATACATTGACGTTTTTTTCAAGCAAATGACGTTTTTTGAGAACCAAAGTGACGATTTCCCTCTTCATTGACCTGGCAACACTGCAAATGAGGTCAACAACTCAAATACAAATTGTTAGCATGTTGTATGAATGCATGTGTGTACCGAAAGGTAGTTGCTTTTGTGGTAACTACATATGTATGACATGTTGCATGCTACATGTTGCACATTGCATGTCGTCTACATATCTGCTACCTACATACATACTATGGAGTTGTATTGTCATTCGATTGCCTATGGCAAGTTAGTAGTAGTGGAGAATCCCTTTTGTTTATTTGCTATAGAACATTGCTTGTTGCTGTTACTGTTGTTGGTGCTGTTTTTGTCAACGTTGCCACTGATAGTTAGACATTGCTGGCTGTTTAGCCGCTTTGATAGATTCATTACAGGCATGTTTGCCTACGCTGCGCTTCGCCTGCGGTCTATTTGACGAAGTCTCGCTATGTTGTTGTTCGTCGCTATGACGAAGTCGGTCGAGCTGACTAATGGGAGCAAAGAGCAGACGAAGCAGGAAAATGAGGAGTGATAGAAAGCGCACTCCCAAAGCAATCTTAGCGCTAGCGGTTTTCCTACACTTTTCGTTCCCGCCACTTATGCGGTTGAATAGTCAACATACATAAGTAGTACACGTACACATACATACATATGTATACATACCAGCAAACATGCATGCTTTCATAAAAGTTTTCGAGCTCCCTACTCCATAAAACTTAGTATTTACGCTGCTAGCCTCGAGTCCTAACCTCCTATCTTCGTCGTTAATACCTCAACCAACATCAGGCTGTGCGGCGGTGGTGGTGGTGGTGGTGTTGTCGGTCGTCGTAGCAATGCTTTGTATGTAGTGACCAACAACCGCAGCAAGCAAAAGGCGGAAGTATATTTCCCATACGTAATTTCTGCTAATTTGCATTTAGATTGTGGCACTGTTCCAGTTCTACTTAATTTTCATACTTCTCCTATATGTACAGCTACATGCGCTTGCTAGCAACTCCACTTTACTTCAACTTCTATTGCATACTTAGCGCCAACGCGCGCGTGAGATTCTCCATTTCTCTGTTAATTTAACGTTGCAGCGCGCCTAGAAGTATGCACATAGATATGTATGTGAGCGCTTGTATACATCTATGAGGTACACGCGTATACTTCCTTGTATACATTGGGGCGCTGTAGCGCTTGATTACGCCGGCTCCTCGTTTATTTATGAGACTGAACTGTGGTAACAAAGCAATGAATGCAAAAAAGGGGCATAATAAGGATGTAGAGGCAAGCGCGTTGTTTGGCTAATAAATACAAACATATACATATATTTATACAGTTGCAATTAGAATCTGCACATACATACATATGCAAGCACATTTAAATTTAAATTAACATGAATGCTAAAAGGCATCGGAAATTAAAGGACGAAAATATGTGAATAGGTTTGTAGCAAAAATAAAAAGCTGGCCTCTAACTGTGAACATAAAAAAGTAAAATTTGCTTATCACAAAAAAATTGCAGTTCTTTCTGTAGGCGTTTACAGAAAGCAAAGCTAAGACCCAAAAAGTCCCGAAATACCCAACAAATTGGGAAAAAGCTCCATAAAATATCGAAATCGCGATTTATTTAATTGTAGTGAATGCAAAAAAGAATCAAAAGCGAAAATAAATTTACTTTCCTGAAATTATATTTAAAAATTTTTGTTGAGCTTAAGGCCTTTATCCGCTTATTTAGTCAAAATGACATTTAGAGTGTTAAAATTTTCTACAGACCTACTAAACAGAGAGTTTGAACAAGCGGTCATCGCAGAAACTAACTTTCGATTAAGCCGTATAACACACTCATTAGCGCACACAAGAGGTGCGTTTTAGGGTTTGAATGAATGTGACTAGTGGTAAACTGAAAATAACTCTATTTTACCCTTGTGCAGTCAAAGGTGCATTTTATCCAAAATACTTAATCTTCACGAACGATGTTTTTGTGTTGTAAAATATGAATTATACGCGTTTGTTTTAAATAAAAACTAGGTTTATAAAATCTTCATAAAAAAAAAATATTTTAAGGTGTGACTCGTGGGACACCTCCTTGTGACTGGTGTAAAGTAATTATGCATGAAATAAAAGTTTACAACTTCTTTTTATTTTTTTAATATTTTTCCACAGGTTAATGAAATGAAGTCATTTAGAAGAGGTTACTACTGAAATATTAAAACAATTAGGCAATCGTAAAAAATGGAAAACCAGAAACCATAAATTGAGAAAAATGAACATTAAAACTCTTTTTTAACATTTTTTATTGCTTTTTAATAGAGGGCTGCATGAATTCATTCAAACTTCTATCCAAACAGAGTACAATAGATTTGAATATTTTACCTCACATACAAAACACTCAGCGTTTGGAATTTTGTAAGCTATGAATATACATTTTGTTTTATATTTTCTACCTTCAAATGGAAGAATGTGAATGAATGAATAGAAAACATTCAAATCATTCAAATCATTTCGGTAAAAGTTTTTTTCTACAAATGTATGTTTGTACATATGTGCATAGAAAAAATATTTTTGGATATTCATACAAAAAATTGTCATTTATTTCAATTAAATTTATTTTCACTTTGTTTGAATATTGTATTGTCGACACAAACATCAGAACAGCTATTCACTCAAATTCAAAAAAATTTGAAGCCAAAATCATTCATTCGTTTTGTATATGAATAATTCATAAGCTGTGTTGAATGCATTCATGCAGCCCTCTACTTTTTAAAGTTGAGCGCATCTTGTGTTTATAGAAGTTTTTATTAAACAAGTCATTTTTAAGCAAGAAACACAACCGACTTCAATTCTCATATACAAATTTAAGAGTACCGTTAATTTTTTCATGATCCAATGATCGGATATAAAACAAATTACGGGACGACCCATTAGGTACCATCTTTCCGATAAAGAAGGAATTATTGAAATCGGTTAACGTGGTCCAAAGTTATGCGGTGGCATACATAAAAGAAGAAAAAATACAGTACCACAGTGAGGTGTTGAGTTCTTATCCAGAACATGGTGCATGATGAATGACTCTAATTTAATTGTATTCAGCTTAATCCATAGGTTGGGCGATCCCGCGATCTATCGCATATAAGGCCTTATGCTCGGTATGGAGGGCAGAAACCCAGCAACAGCGAACGGATTGGGTTTAATCCGGTTATTGACCGGATGCCAAATCTTGGAAAATACTCGACGGGGAAGGATCGGTATTCACCACCGTTTTGTAAATTTTAAATTCGATTTTGAATTTTGTATGCTGTATAAAATGACGAAGAGCAAAACCACCGGCTCCGTAAGAATTATAAAAGACCGCTCCGAGCCGTTCGATACCAAACGAGGCTTCGCGAAAGACGACTCTCTATAGTTCGACATCTAAAATATAATACCATTTGAGAAGAAAATAAAAGCCAGAGAACTAAACCGCTCAGGAACAATTGCTGGCGTATCAATTTCATCGGTCCAAAAACCCGATCTGTTTTTTCTGCCTTTTCTACGTTGGATATGGAAGCAAAGCGAATGGGTCAATAGAAGAAGTAATTGAAGGATACGAGTATGTGGCGCAGGAGTTTGAAATCTCTAATGGACGGTTCTGGGGTTAAGTTTCGAATGCTTTGCCTCATAAAAAAATAAAAATAAACCCATGTGTACTATATATGTACATATGTATATAGCGAAGAATAACACCAAGAATTGCTTGAGTGCGTTAATCGATATTTATTAAAATTGCATAAAATGACTTCTTAGTATAATAAAATATTTACTTTTTCAATTTGGAGCAGATTTTTATGTCAGAAGGAAAAGCTTTAAAGACCGAAACCAAAACATCTACAGCGGTCTTGGTGCAATCTGCATAGACACCTGGGGTGGATGGCACTTTCTTCGCTAATGAAACTGTTTTGGCGACCTGTTTCTTTAGCGTAATCAATTTATTCAACAATTTGGAAAAGCATTTGGATGGTGTCTTCTTATTGCCGACTGCTTCATCGTCTAGGGCCTCATTGTTGCAAACTTTGCTATTCAAATTGATGATCTCATCGCAGGTTGTAACGACTGCTTGAACTTGTTTAATAAGCGCTGTTACGCTCTTTACAGCGCCGACATTGCAGTTGTTAATGTCGCTTAAGAAGTCTACCGCCGCAGCTTGAATGCTGAGTACTTCTTTGATGGTACAATTGACGCCTTTCAGAGTACGCAAGCACGCTTTGAGTGTAAAGTAAAAGAAACCAAAAATACTGAATGCTTCCTCATCGGCGTCAGCATAGTCCAAAGGAGTGAATTCCCGGAGCTCCTCACTGTCGAAAGCAGAATCAATGTTGGCCTAAAAATAAAGAGTAAAAGAAAAATGATGTCTAAGGATTTCAGCGCAAGCTTCTGAGTTATTATACTCACCGAGGCGACTGCTAGGCACAGCCCAAAGATAAACGCGAGCACAGCTACTTTCATTTTAATACTTCTACTGGTTAGTCTGCTTTGTTATGGCTGACAGTGGCACGCTACACGCTTTTATACCAAATGAAAGTGCTAGGCTACTGGCGCTAAACAAACCACAATTTAAAGATTACGTTCGGTATAATTGTGTACTGATAACATTAATTTTTATCAATATAATTAATTAGTTGGGTCTTAAGAGAAGCTACTCAAGTTCAACCGTAAATATTTGGTAAAAGAAGACATGTCTTTTTATCAAAAAGATTATTAAGTAGTTAAAAGTTAGCTGAAAAAGCCCTGCATTAGGTAACGAAGTTAAGGTGCTGGCATAAAAAAATTAGCTTGCCAGACAAAAGAAAGCGTGCCATATCAATGTCAATGTGCCAAATAGTCCACGGTGCGGGGATTCATGTTCACTTAAGATAATGGGCCATCAGTAGGCTTTTTGATATCTAGAGGAATTTGGAGAGAATAAAAAATGTTTTTCGCAAGGAATGTTTTTGGGTTTATTTTTAATTCTAATAAATATTCACGTATGAAAGTACATAAGTACCCA